ATGTATGAAATTTTGGAACGTTACAATATTTATCCTCTACAGCAGGTTTAACTTATCAAACTTCTGGGTAGACAGTTCTTTGTCTGAGTGTAACCATTGCTCCAGACTACCGTTATCCATGAATTCAAAAATCAGAGCCTTGAAATCGTTCCCTTTATTGTCAATACCTGAACAAGCACTTATGACCTTAACAAGATTTCGATGTTTAACATTCCTTAGGGCTTCACATTCCCCCACGAAACTCTTGGAAGCTCTACATTGCAAAAGATTAAATACCTTCACCGCAACAACGGTTTTAGAACATTGAAGAATTCCTTTGTACACAGATAAAAAGCTTCATACACCAATCAAATTTGCTAAAGAGAACCCATCAGTTGCTCGATAGAGGCTGTGATAGGAAACTTTAAAGAAAGAGCCTCTCGAGGAGTCACCAAAATGTACCTTGTAAAGAATGAAACTTAAGTGCCATATAAACCCTAGAATTATTTAGACAACGAAAAACGCATTACATGAATGAACGATGTCGAGATAATCAATTCCAATTGAGTTCCTCCTTTACTTCACCAAAAGATTTAGTTCTTCATGAGTTTCTTTTGCCAAGAAGAGATGAAAGAATGATGAGGCCTGAAGAATGATGATGAATCCTCAGTTTTGGAATGTTTTTGGGGTCTTTGCTTCAGAAACCATCTTCAAATTCGATTTGATTATGTCAAAAAGGGGTCTCAATAGGGGGGCTGAAAACCGGTGCATAACTTTTCCGCTTGAAAGTTGATATGTGATAAAGTCTTGGCTATATTTTATCCCTTTAACTCCTTTCTTCATCCAATTGATCTCTAACACTCTCGAATCTTCATCACAAGGTTAGAAACAAGTTAGACTATTGCACTTCAGTCCCTGAACTTTTGTTTTCCTCCATTTTGGTGATTTTTCACTTGTTTCTCCTTATTTCACGACATTCATCACTTCATCCTGTAAAATATGAATTACATAGAATTAAACTATATTCCAACATTTTAATTAGTAATTGATCATGTTTTAACAGTCAAATAAGTGTATAAAAAAAACGCTTATCAGGTATATAATATTATGTTATATAAGCCATGTTTACTCTTATCTTTAAGATGATTTGATTTATCTAAATTTTCGTTCTAACCAATCATTATAACAAATTCATTTTTTTAAGGTGTCCGTGTATGATAGGAAATTGATGGATATTTGAAATTTAAATCCAAACGAATTGGATAGACACGATTTTTCATTACAATTATACTATGACTCAACTACTCTTTTTTTTACTATAAATAGTGTGTCAATGTCCCACAATTCACTATCACAGAATTTTACACAGCAGTTTTCATATAAAATAGCTGTAAATTCTAAGTTTATTTTTATGATCAAAAGTTCGTTTGATCAATCAAGGTATGATACTTTTTGTTCAAGATGTTTGTTTCCTTATACTTTTATGTTCAGTAATTTATGCATGAATTGCCTCGTTTGCTTGCTTGCTTACCTTCTATTTCCTTGCTGTCATTTTGTGTTGTACCGATTTCAATGGAGTTGCCATCTTGTTGTAAAATAGATTCCAACATTTTCCTTAATTCATGGATAAAGCTGCAACTATATAATTCTAGAACATTCCTTGTAATCTATATATAGCATGTAACCAAATCAATACAAAGTGTGTGCAAGCAATTACAATTCATTTGTATCTACTTTTCTAACTTGGCATCAGAGCAGGCTACCATGGCCAATGCTAGTAGCACACCCCAGAATGTTGAAACAAACCCAGTTCCAGTTTTTAGCTCAAGCAGCACCGTTGCTTCACTGTAAGGAAGCAACCATCTCTTACCATTCAGAGTAAATCTAATGCAGACAGCCTCCGTTAAGCTTGACAAAAACAACTAGCTGTTGTGTCAAAACATGATTCTCCCTATCATCTGGGGACTCTCACCATTCAATGTAAATCTAATGCAGACAACCTCCGTTAAGCTTGACAAAAACAACTAGCTGTTGTGTCAAAACATGATTCTTCCTATCATCCGGGGACACAAACTCGAAGGCTACATCCTGGGGACAAAGATATGTCCATCGGAATTCACAGCAAATCAAGTAACCAGTGATGCAGGAACCAGCATTGAGTGACAAAAAATCCTGAATATGAGTAATATATGTCAACCGATCAATTGCTAACGGGGTGGCTCTATTCTGCGATCATAGCTATGAGAGTTATGGGAGCCAATAACTCCAAAGAACTTTGGACTACTGTGAAGGAAAGCTATGGAGTCTAAAACAGATCCAGAATTACCTCCCTAACTGGTGAACTTCAAAAGTCAAGGAAATGAACCTTAAGTATTGATCAATACTTAAAAAAAGTCAAGTTGCTTGTAGACAGTCTGGAGATTGCTGGGAAAGCTGTTCTTCACTTTGATCTTGTTACTCAAGTCTTACCAGGTTTAGATGAAGAGTACATACCAATCGTTGTCCAAATTAACAGTAGAGATTATATCACTTGGGGAGAACTGCAATCAACTTTTATGACCTTCGAAAATAGGCTAGAACACCTCAACTCAGTTAGGAATGAAATGGCAAGAATCAGCCTTGATCAACCGTTTATCAATTTCTCTTAAAGAGCAGGTTACAATCATCACCATACTAAATCCTACAGATCAAATTCTGGAGTAAAGTTCTCAAACTACAATAACTTTAGATGTGGAAGAAGAGGTAGATTTAGAGGAAGAAACTCAAGTAGTATCATTAGTAGGCCAATATGTCAAGTTGTGGAAAAATGGGACATAAGGCCAACATCTGTAACTACAGATATGATGAAAGATACTCAGGTTCTTCAGCCAGTCAAATCACCAAACACCATAAGTGATCCTGCTTGGTTTGTTGATACGGGTGCCAGCAATCATATAACAACAGATAAGGAAAATCCCACCTCAGCAAATGAATACGTTGGTAAGGAAAAAATCATGGTTGGAAATGGTAATAAACTTCACATCTCACATTTTGGTATCACTCACATTCCCACCTTGAATGAAAAAAATGATTATGTTAAATAAACTTCTACATGTGCTTGAAATCAAGAAAAATCTTATTAGTGTTTCACAACTGATTGCTGATAATCAAGTATACATGGAATTTAATTCTAACCATTGTCTTGTTAAGGATAAGCTGACGAGGGAAACAATGCTGGAGGGGAGCTTAAGGAAGGGCTGTATCAATTGGATCTCCCTCACCAGAACTCTAAATTCCACTCTCTGAAGCCAACTCTTTCTAATAAACACTGCTAGAATGCTTCCTTTCTTAGTTCCAGTCAAGAGTCTAGTCCTAGTCAAGAGTCTTTAAATTTCCAAGTTGATGTATGGCACAAGAGGCTTAGACATCCATCTAACCAAGTGATGTTTCAAGTGCTCAAAACATGTAATCAAAAGGTAAAGAAAAATGAAGTTAAAACTTTCTGTGATGCCTGCCAATTTGGGAAATCTCATCTATTGCCATTTCATTTATCCATTTCACATGCCAAATACACACTGATGTATGGGGGCAAGAACCAATCCAATTCACTTATGGCTTTAAATACTACATGACCTTCCTAGATGACTTCAGTAGATTCACCTGGATATATCCATTAAGACAGAAATATGAGGTATTGAACGTGTTTATTCAATTTAAAAAATTGGTTGAGAACAAATTCTCTAGCAAGATCAGAACCTTGCAATCTGACTGGGGGTGAATTAGACCTTTCACAAAATTTCTGGCACAAGAAGGGGTAGAATTCAAGCACCCTTGCCCTTATACTTCAGCACAAAATGGAAGAATTGAGAGGAAACATAGACACATAATTAAGACAGGTCTAACCTTCCAGCTCAAGCCAAACTATCCCTAAAATACTGGTGGGAAGCGTTCTAAATTGCCACTTACCTCATTAACAGAATGCCAACACCAACACTCAAAATGCAGTCTCATTTCCAAACACTCCACAAGAGCCAACCTGACTAAAAACATCTAAAAGTCTTTGGGTATGCTTGCTACCCTTGCTTAAGACCCTATCAATAACACATGTTCAGCTTTCATTCAACTAAGTGCGTGTTCCTTGATTACAGTGAGTCACATAAAGCCTAAAAATGCCTTAGCTCGACAAGAAGAATCTATATTTCAAGACATGTGGTGTTCAATGAACTTGAATTTCCATTCGAGTCCTTATTCTCCTCACAAATTCAATCCAACTCTGCTGAACCTAAAATAGTAGTGTCTTATTTTCAATCTTTCCTTCAACAAACCAACTTAAACTCAACTCCAAGTCCTGCTGATACAGCTTATCCTGAAGCAGCCAATGCTCATCATAACGTTCCTCCTGGCTTAAGTAATACTCAGCATGAAGTTTCAACAATGGTGAGGATGAAAGTAGTAACGAACGTGCCACCAGAAACTTGAATGATCTAGAAACTGAAGCCGAACTATCTCCAAATATAGAATCAGAACATCAATTAGTTAGCAGAGATTAACAAAGAGTGAACGACCTAACCAGACATCCCATGATCATAAGGGCAAAGGCTGGAATTTTTAAACAAAAAATATACCTTGGTAAATCAATAGAAAACAGTCCAGAGCCTTCAGAAAACTAAAAATGGTAATGAAGCCCTCTTGAACAAGGATTGGAGGAAAGCTATGGATGAAGAGTTCAATGCTGTGATGAAAGCAAAAACCTAGAAACTTTGCCACCATCACCAGCATACAATATTGTTGGAAACAAGTGGGTTTTCAGAGTTAAAAAAAATGCAGATGGATCAGTTCAAAGGCTTAAAGCAAGGCTAGTTGCAAAGGGCTTCCATCAGGCTTCAAAAATTGATTTCTGTGAAACTTTCAGCCCAGTCATTAAAGCTTCAACACTGAGAATCATACTTACTCTTGCAGTTTCAAAGAGGTGGACAATTAGGCAAATTGACATTAACAATGCCTTTTTGAATGGCAAACTTGAAGAAGTTGTTTACATGAATCAACCGGAAGGATTCATGGACAAAACCAAACCAGATCATGTTTGTAAACTGGAAAATGCACTATATGGATTAAAACAGGCACCTAGAGCTTGGCATGAGAAGCTAAAAACAACACTGATGAGTTGGAAATTCAGACAATCAGCAGCTGACACCTATCTGTTTTTCTTCAAAAATGAAAAATAGATTATCTTTGCATTAATATATGTAGATGACATCATGGTGACAAGCAATGACACAAAATTGGTGCAAGAATTCTTAAAGGAATTGGATAAAACATTCACACTGAAGGATATGGGGCAACTTCACCATTTTTTGGGAATTGAAGTGCTTTAGTATGACTCATGAATTCACCTCACTCAAACAAGATACTTTGCTGAACTGCTCAAGAAATTCGAACTGCAGAACATCAAGCCATGTATTACTCTCATTCCTGCTGGAAAAACCTTATCAAAGGCTGATGGAGAAGCACCCCAAGACCCTTCAGCATACAGAAGTACAGTAGGAGGACTGCAATACCTCACACATACGCGGCCATACATCACTTTTGCTGTCAATAAGCTTAGCTAGTTTCTTCAGTCACCAATCGGTAAGCTTTGAAGAGAGTACTGAGATACCTCAAAGGAACTATGAATCAGAGACTAAACTTAAATGGCTTTTCAGATGTAGATTGGGCCTCCTGTCCTGATGATAGGAGATAAACGGCAGGATATTGCATCTACTTAGGAGACAACTTGGTTGCTTGGTCATCAAAGAAACAGCATGTGGTTGCTAGATCAAGTATAGAATCAGAATACAGAGCACTTGCCTCAGCAGCCTTTGAATTGCATAGATTCAATCTCTGTTTAAGAAACTAGAACTGCCTTAAGAGTCAACCCCAATACTATGGTATGATAACATGAGTGTCGAGGCTTTAGCGGCTAATCGATTTTACTAAACACATCGAGTTAGACATTCATTTCATCAGGGACAAAGTTCTTACAAAAGAATTGGAAGTAAAATATGTGCCCTCCTCGGACCAAATTGCTGATTTGCTAACAAAAGGTGTCAAGAACTCAAGGTTTACCTTCTTAAAGGACAAGCTTGGAGTTACCTCAGTTCTTTCCAGCTTGAAGGGAGGGTATAAAGAATGAAACTTAAGTGCCATCTCATCAGCACATCATCAAGGCCTCATTTGCTTACTTACCTTCTCTTTCCTTGCTGTCATTTTCTGTTGTACTAGTTTTAGTAGAGCTGCCATCTTGTTGTAAAATAGATTCCAACATTCTCCTTAATTCATAGATCAAGCTATAGCTGTATAGTTCTAGAAGTTTCTTTTTAATCTATATATAGCATATAACCAAATCAATACAAAGTGTGTGCAAGCAATTACAATTCAGCTGTATCTACTTTTCTAACTTACCTTACTTGTCTTGGACCAGCAAAGGAACACTAGACCAACCAACAAGCTCAACCCCAAAAGAGCAGAAACTATAGAAACTTTTTATGTAAATGTTAAGGTTGAGATAAACTTTGTGGAATGTTTCGTGGTGCATCGAGGAACCTTAAGTTCTTGTGTACCCCCACAAAGCTTTGGATAACTAATTATAGAAAATTTATTTACATTCTTAAATATGCCTTCTTCTGGTAATACACCTTGAAAATCGTTAAAAGAAAGATTTAGAACTGGAAATCAAAGGTTCCCAAATATTATGGAATTTGTTCTGATAGATAGTTCTGAGAAATATCACGATATTTTAGACCTCTCAAAGAACTAAAGGATAAAGGAATGCTTCCATAAAATAAGTTCTCTTCCATGTAAAGTTTTTCCAAACTTGTACAATGACCAATGGAACTAGGGATCTCACCAGATAAATTATTCCTCGAAACAACCAATTCATTTAAATTTTCCAATTCCAACTTCAGTAGGAAGGGAACAAACTAATTGGTTGTTTGATAAGTCTAAATATAGTACTAAGGAAGATAGATCAAAAACTTGTGGAGGTATTATGCTACTAAGTTTGTTTTAGGACAAATTTAGTGCTTGCAATGTTGGCATAGCCCCAGAGTAGATAGGATCTCACCATAAATTTTGTTCTCATCCAGGTGGAGCTTAGTTAGCAAACTTAAATTTCCTAAGAAGGTAGGAATGTTCCCTGATAAATGGTTGTGTGAAAGGTCCAAAATCCGTATACTTTGTAGGTTTCCAACCTCAATGGGGATTATGCTTGTGAATTGGTTGCCCCTCATATCAATATTGATCAAGTTGAAAATTTCCTATCCAATTTGGAATTCTTCCTGAGAGTTGATTGTCACTTACCAACAGCCCTGTGAGCTTTGATGAGAGATTTCCAAAAGATTCAGGAAACTCTCCTCCAAATTTGTTATCATATAAATCCAATTCTTCCAAATTAGAGGCATTTGTTAAAATGGAGATGAAGCTTGGGTTATTTAATTTGCCACTTCCTAGGTGATTGCCAGAGATATCTAGACGATTAAGTTTATACAACTCTGTAAAAGTAGGAACCCTGCTTGTAAATTTGTTGCCACCAATGACAAAAAAAACTGAAGATTTGACTTATTGGACAGCGAAAGGGAATTTTTCCTATAAACTAGTTTTCCGTAATGGCAAAATGATATAGGTGTGGAAGAGTAAAGCCTAGATAAGATGGAAGTGTCCCTTGAATTTGCTTCAGTGGTGCAAAAATAGTTGTGAGTGAAGAGAGATTGAATATTGTGTGGGGGAAGGTAGCAGACAATTTGTTTTCACTTAATCCAATATATTCTAGCTTTTTCAACTGTCTTAGCTCATTTGGAATGTTCTCGCCGAGAGTGTTGGAGGCAAACCCAAGAATCTGAAGAGACGATAAGTTCCCAAAAAGAGGTATGCTGCCTATAAGGTTGTTTAATGCAGCACGGATCAGCCTAAGGCTTGATAGAGCGCTAAACTCCCTAGGAATCCTTCCTACTAGACAGTTTCAAGACAACTGGATTTCCACGAGACTAGAGCAATTAGAAAGGCTGGATGGATTTTCACATCAAGTGAATTGTTCCTTAACCACAAAATTCTTAATCTCTTTAGGCCTCCGAGTTCTTGAGGAATTTTTCCGGTAAAATTATTGTTATCAATAACCAATTGGTGAAGAAAGCTCAAATTTCCAATGTAGGACGACATGGAGCCCTTTAGTTTCTGGTGGTACAGGTTTAAGGTAGTGACTCGTTGGTGTCTGGTACTGCATATCACACCCCGCCACTGGCAAAAATGTACAGAATCATTCCATGAGCTCAACACCTCAAAAGGATCATCACTTATCCCGTCTTTGAAAGCAAGCAAAGCTTCTAGGTCTATTTGATTTGCACCATCTGCAGGATTTGTCAAATGAAGAAAGTCGAAACCAAACAAAGGAGAAACATATTTTTCCAATAAGCAATTAAAAGGAAAAAAAACATTGCCAACTTCATCTGGATCTTGAAAACTAAGTTTAAGATTTTCTGGCTCTATTTGTGAGTGCTGGAGACTAAACAAAATATAAAAGTAAAATGACACTAGAGATTGCTAAATGTGTTACAAAAAGAAATTAGAGAGAGAAATGGGGAAAAATTCTATTCTGCATTAATTAGAATTCTCACGAAACGAAATTACACTGAGTAAAACTCTTATATGGAAACACAGAATGAGCTGGAGGAAAGAAGAAAAAAAATACAGCTGTAACTTGCCAACTCAGCAAGGCTAACAAACTAAATTTCTAATACTCCCCCTCAAGATGGACTATAGATGTTAATAAATCCCATCTTGCCAATTAGTTCTCTAAACTGTGAAGGGTAAAGTGCCTTTGTAAAAACATCAGCAAGTTGGTTTGAACTTGAGACATGCAAAGTTTTTAGTATCCCTGCTTGTATCTTCTTATGAATTAGGTGACAATCAATCTCTATATGATTGGTTTTCTCATGGAAAATGGGGTTCGCTGCTATATGAAGAGCCGCTTGATTATCACAATATAACAAGCCTGGCTTAGAATGATTTACCCCAAACTCCTTTAACAAGGAAAGTAACCAAGTCACTTCACATGTTACATTTGCCATAGATCGATATTCTGCTTCAGCAAAGGAACAAGATACCCTCATTTGCTTTTTAGACTTCCAAGAGATTAAGGACTTTCTTAAGAACACACAGAAACCAAAGACTGACCGTTTTGTATCAGGGCATGATACCCAATCTGCATCACTGAACATATTAAGTTGAACATCAGGTAATCCAGGAAATTGAGCCTCAGCAAAAGCTCTCAATTGAAATGCTGAACTAGAAGGAAAGAAAAGTCCCTGACCAGGAGTATCCTTAACATATTGTAAGATTCTCTGTGTAGCTTGAAAATGAGGCAACCCCGGCTTGGATAAAAACTGACTTAATTTGTTTATAGCCTAAGACAAATCAGGTCGAGTAATAGTTAAGTAAAGTAACTTCCCAATCAACCTCCTATAGAGAGCAGGCTTTGAAAACTCTTATCCATCTTCTTGACTAAGTTTAACATTCACTTCTATAGGAGTTGCAGCTGGTTTGCAACCCAAAAAGCTATATCCACCAAGATCTGCAAAGCATATGGTCTTTGTGAAACTGAAATACCTTTTCCAGTTCTAGCAATCTCTAGCTCAAGAAAGAAACACAAATAACCAAGATCCTTTAGTTTGAACTTAGCATCCAAATTAGATTTCAAATTTTGAACAGCAAGTTCATCATTACTTGATATTATAATGTCATCTACATAAACAAGAAGAGCAATAAAAATTCTCTATGTCCTCTGAATGAAGAGAGAATGATCTGTTGTTGATCGACAGAAACTTTCTTCAATTAAAACACTTGAAAATTTGGCATACCATTGTCGTGATGCTTGCTTCAATCCATATATGGTAATTTTATCTCTCCCTTAGGACTATATCCCTCAGGTATACTCATATAAACCTCTTCAGCCAAATCACCATGAAGAAACGCATTATTTATATCTAATTGATGCAAAGACCATCCATTAATAGTGGCCAAGATGAGTAACAGCTTGAAAGTCACCAGTTTTGCTACAGGAGCAAAAATATCAAGGTAATCTACCCCTTCCTGTTGAGTATATCCCTTAGCCACCAAACGAGCCTTATACCTTTCAATCTTACCATTTGCCTTGAGATTAATTTTTTTATACCTACTTACAACCAATAGCATGAAAACCAGAAGGCAAATGAACAATGGTCTAGGTACGATTTTGCTCCAAGGCCTGTAGTTCCTCTGACATAACATGATCTCATTCAGGTGTGTCATGAGCTTGTGAGAATGTATTAGGTTCATGAAGGCTAGAAATGGACATGACAGCAACCTTAAAATGTCATCTCAATCTCTCATAAATAAGAAAATTCGAGAGAGGATAAGAAGTCGAAGAACCAGAAGTAGTATGGGACAAAGCACCACAATGATAATCCTATAAGTAACCTGGCTTCTTAACATCAAGTGAGGGACGAGAAGAAACAAGAGGATTATCAAAAGCTGTAGAAGAAGGTAATGATTGCTCATGTTCTGAAGGGGAAGAAGAAACATCCTGAGAAAGAAAGTAGTTTGAGAATCTATATCAATAATAGGTAGAGGCAACACCATATGAGGAACGAAATAGTAATATTAGTAGAAGAAGCTTTAGAAGCCAGAAGAAAAATGTTCTCATGAAAAACAACATCATGAGAAATGACAACTTTATTAGATTCCAAATCTAAGAGTTTGTAGGCTTTCATTCCAAAGGGATATCCAATAAGCACACAGGCTTGTGATCTAGCAGAGAACTTGTCCCTTCTACTTAACAAAGTAGAGACATAGCACAAACAACCAAATGACCTTAAGTGCAAATAAGAAGTAGCCTTGTTATATAGTATCGCAAATGGAGTCTGTTGATGTAAAATTGATGAAAGAACTATATTTGTATCCGTCAACAAAAATAGTATGAAAGGGGCCCCAAACATCAACATGAATCATATCAAAACAAGAAACAGCTCTACGATTATTGGAAATGAAATGAAGTCTTCTTTGTTTAGCAAGGGGACACGCTTTACAATGAAAAGGTTTATCTAGAGTATTATGGAAACAAGGAATCTTAGATGGCTATTGAGAAACATTACAAGCAGGATGACCAAGGCGATAATGCCATAAAAGGTCAGGAGGTACAGCAGAAACATTATTACATGAACTAATATAAGCTTTTTTATTCTCAGGAAAAATGAAGTAGTATAAATTGCCTACTCTGTTACTCATCCCAATCCTTAGGCCCTGCATAGTGTCCTAAACAAAATAATGATCAGCAGAAAAGATCAGAGAACGAGGAATGCTCTTGGTAAGGGAACTCACAGAAATGAGATTGTATTTGAAAGATGGCACAAACAGTACTTTGTGAAGAACCAGAAAAGGGGTAAGACGAACAGTGCCAATTCTAGAGATATCCACAATATGACCATTAGGAAGTATAATAGAACTTGTCATAGGAACATCATCAAAGAATTCAAAAAATCTTATATCATGACATACATGATGTGTTGCTCCTGAATCAACAATCCAAACATGGTCTGGTATGAGAGAAATACTAGTAAAATTGGAGACAATGGTTTGCTGTTGTTGGTCTGAGTAATCCTGAGATTGAGAATATCCTGCAAATGTGTACTCAGTAAAGAAATTAGTGCCTAACATTGGTTGGCAGATAAACTGCTCAAAGTGGAATTAGTAGAATCAGCAAGGACATTCGCCTGAACAACATTGGCCTTTGAAGTACCAGAAGACCATTTATTTGACCACCTATTCTGACCCCCTTCCTTAGAATGAGCATTGAACTGATTTTTAGGTGTGAATCCAGGCGGATAACCATACTTCTTATAACATTTATCAACAGTATGACCAAAGTAACCACAATATGTACAAACAGGTTTCTTATGTTTTCCTTTATAGACATTATAATTGTTGGAATTGACTCTATAAGCTGCAGAAAGAAGAAGAACTGAAGGAAAACACACAGATCTCTGCCTTTTTTATTGTATAACCAGAGAGAAAATCCTGTTAATAGAAGGTGATGGTTCAAGCATAAGGATTTGAGCACGAATCTGGCTAAAGGATTTATTTAGGCCCATCAAGAAATGCAGAACATAATCTTGATGTTGATAATCAATTAAATCCTTTATTCTCCCACAATGGCAAGCAGGAGATGGTCTAAAATCACCTCAATTCATCCCAAAGTGTCATAAGTTTGGTGAAATAGGAGCTAACATCACTAGAACCTTGAACAAGAGCATGAATCTCCTGCTTTAACTGAAAAAATTCTTGGACCATTACTCTGATGAAATCGTTCATGTAAATCATTCCACATATCACGAGCATCATTAACATATATTATACTATCTACAATGTCCTTAGAAACAACATTAAGTATCCAATACATGACCATGTTATTGCATCTAAACCAAAAGGAAAGCAAAGGATCGTCATCCTCAGGTCTAGATATAGATCCATCCACAAAACTGATTTTGTAGAAAGTCATCCAGGAAGTTAGGAATAGAATATTTACTTGTAATTTGGAATTGTGTGTATAGCAGGAAATTAGGAATAGTAGTTAACTAAATATTCTCTCATATTTACTCACCTTAGTTAGACTAATTCTAGGCTGATTTTGTTTCATAATTTCGAGGATCTAAACTAACATCATTCCTGTATATATATTTTCCTAATTGTTCAATAAGATATATGAATTTTTCCCTCCGAATTATCTACATGGTATCAGAGCTGGTCTCTAAACCTTAATCTGGTCGAGCACCCTAATTTTGTAGCCTCCATTCATTCCCTGGACGGGTGAATAACTTCTGGTCCATTCTCCCGTATTCTTTCAGACCTCGAATACATGTTCTCGATTGGTTCTCTCTTGTTTTTCCCTATTTTTTCTTATTCCTCAACCATGGCCGAAACAAACTAGACCTCCTCAACTAGCATCTCCTCTCCTGCTGGTTCATCATCCTCAATCACCCCTACTATATCCAAGACCAACCTTGTCCCTATGACCAATTACAAATTAAATAGTCACAATTATTTACACTGGTCTCAATAGGTGATGATGTTCATCAGTGGCAAAGGGTGTGATGTAATACTCCGAAATTTTATGCTCGTTTAATTTGCTCATCTAATTATTTTAGGATAGTAATGTAACTTTTCAAATTTTTTTGGCCAAACTATTAGTGACTACCACGTTTTCATGTTTTGGTTAAATATATAAGCTAGCATGAGGTGGCTAAGGCAAACATGATATGGTCATCTTTGTAGTAACAAGCAAGCATGTGGTGTCAACTTGTAGTAACAATCTATCATGAAGTGTTTAATGGATGCATGAGCTGTTTAGTTAAATTTAGGAAAACATCCATGCAACTCACACGTGTAGATGTAGGCAACAAGTTTTAGTTTGGTAAATAGTCACCCTTTACACCTTGCTTAGTCATAGGTTTTCTTGCCTTTAAATACTTAAGAAAGGTTACTGCAAATGTCTTTTGAAACCAGAATATTTCTTGCAAACAATAGAAAGATAGGATACTTGAAAAGGAAAACAAAGGCTAGCATTTGCAAGTACAATTTTCAACCCCAAGTGTTAAGGTAAGATACTTTCTATGCTCAAATGGTAGGATTTCATGGTAATATTTATGCTTAAACTATGCATGAGCACCATAATATGAAAGTTGTGGACAAGTCCACAAAGTTAGATATCTATTTATGCCTTAGGACAAGTCCGAAGGGCACTGGCAAGCCGGAATATGCAAGCATGTGTTTGAATGCTTTCTTTTGTGTAGTATTAACATGTTAAATCCATGTATGGTATCTTATTGAGTATTATTTATACGCATAGTCATTTATACTAAATTTTCAGATCCATGATCGTTAAGTTGAGTTGGTGGAAGTTGGTCAGCCTCCTCGATGATGGGACAAAGATATTTTGTATCTAAGCTTCCTTCCCGTATGTTTTGTTCAAAGACTGCCTTCCTTATGTTTTGTTTATGGTGGTATTAATTATAAGCATGTATGTGACATGATGTAATATGGTACTAGAAGTATATTTGGTAATGACACCTTTCATGTTGTGCTTAAAGACATTTCTATAGACTTTTTCCTGAAATGGTAAAAGAGACAGAAACTGGACAATTTTTGGGGTCAGTTCAAAATGCTATTACTAACTCTATAAACACCTATTTGAGACCCTAAAAATACTACCACATTCCTCTGTGAGTTTTCTTAATATTAGCACAAGATTTGTTCAATTTGGATGTCTGTGGCCGGAGATATAAATTTTTAAGTGTCGGAGGGTCAATCTGAAATTTCTGTGCAGTACCTCACTATTTTTAATGAAACGTCCATATCATATGATCTTGGAAACTCTCCATATTTTGGAAAACTACTTGGAAATATCTTTCAAATAAAACAAATTTCATAGGAAATGGAGTTGGGGTGAATTTTATAAAAATGTTTGAACAGGCTGCCCAAACTAGCCGTAACAGCACCACGTTCGCATATGAAAAGAATAATTTCAAATCGGCATGCACTTCTGCTGACCATTAAACTTTATAGAGATATTTTACTATGAATTAAAAACAGGTTTCTGGAATGCATTACATTTTATTTAAGAGTTTTTACATGTAACAAAGGATAAGTTATTACGTTAGTACGTGACACTCGAAGCTTAAGTTCGGGGTGTCTCATCTGATGATTACCTTACTGGAGCTGCAGAATAGCCCAACAAGTTCGATGCTCTCTACAAGGCATGGCGATCTGAATGGTTATGTCTTGGTTGATTAACTCCATGACCATTGAGATTAGTGAAAATTTCCTCCTTTATTCTACTGCACAGGAAATTTGGGAGGCTACCCGTGAGACTTACTCCAGCAGTGTGAATACTTTTGAATTATTTCAAGTTGAAAGTATTCTCTAGGATCTCAAACAAGGAGATGGGTCTCTAATAACCTATTTCACTAATCTCACTCTCCATTGGCAACAACTAGACTTATTTGAAATCCATGATTGGAAGTGTCCGAAAGATGGGATCAAATTTAGGAAAATAGTGGAAACTAAAAGAGTTTTCAAATTTCTCATGGGACTTAACAAATCCCTTGATGAAGTCCGAGGATCGAATCCTTGCAACTAAACCTCTTCCTAACCTACGAGAAGCTTTTTTAGAAGTTCAGAGGGAAGAAAGTCGAAGAAAATTCATGCTAGGATCATCCGGGACATGGCAATTAAACCTCTTCCTAACCTCTAAAAGTTCAGCCCTTACAATACACGGGTCCCTGACTTCACAAGAAGAGTTTCTGCTCATGCTACTCGTAGTTCTTCTCAACATTTGAATAACAACAAGCCTAGGAAAGGGAGGCCGTGGTGTGACCACTAGAGGGTCTAATGAGCGTGACAGTCGCGGGTATGCAGCAACTACTGAAGCAACTTCTACTCAAGCTCCTTTCACTAAAGATCAACTAGAGGTTCTTCAAAAGTTGATTAGCCAAGTAAACATCCAGCCAGCCCCTGCTATCATTGGAACTGGAAGTGCTACTCACAGAGGTAATATATCCATTGCTTTTGGTGCAACCATGGCTTCCTCAAATACTTGGTTTGTTGACTTAGGGGCATCAGATCATATGACTGGAAACCGATCCCTGCTCTCATCCTATAACCCGTGACAGGACTTTATCTTAGTCTGAATAGCTGATGGATAATGCTCAAAAGTGATTGGCATTGGCACTGTCATTCTATCAGAAAATCTTGTCCTACAATCTGTTTTATTTGTGCCAAAACTAGAATGCAATTTACTATCTGTGAGCAAACTTAACCATGACTTGGGTTGCATAACTAAATGTACTGCAAAATCTTGTGTTTTTCAGGATTCAGGATCGGGGAGGATGATTGGCAATGCTGAGCTTTGTGCAGGTCTTTATCTCCTCAACCATGATGACTCTTCTAAAGGAAAATCTTGCAGCAACGTTTGTGTCAATCCAAAGTGTCAGCTATCTAGTATTTTTTTTGTCTTCAAGTCTGTCCAATAAAGATAGTACAGTTATAATGTGGCACTATAGCCTAGGTCATCCAAATTTTATGTATCTTGAATGACTCTTTCCATCCTTATTTATTAATAAAAGCTCTAAATTTTTTCATTGTGATATATGTCTATTGTCCAAACACAAACGTAGTTCCTATCCATCTCAACCATATAAATCTTCTCACCCTTTTTTCCCTTATACACAGTGATATTTAGGGTCCCTCGAGAATTGCAAATATTACTGGGGCTCGATGGTTTCTGTTATTTGTTGATGATCACACACGTCTAAGTTGGGTATTTCTAATGAAAGACAAGTTTGAAACTAGCCAAATTGTCAAAACCTTTCACCTCATGATACAAAATAAACTCAAAACAAATATTCAGATTCTCATGACAGATAATGCCCGAGACTTCTTCAATTCTGTCCTGGGTGATTATTTGCAAAATCACGGGATTGTTCATCAAAGTTCTTGCGTTGACAAACCCCAAAAAATGGTGTGGCTGAACGAAAGAACCATCACCTTCTCGAGGTTGCCCATTCATTGTTGTTTACCTCAAATGTTCCTCAGAGATTTTGGGGTATCCTCATAGCCACTTACCTCATTAATAGGATGCCCTCTTAAATTCTGAATTTCAAAACTCCTAGCCAATCACTTCTTGAAGCCTTTTCCCAATTCTCACCTCATTACTCAGATTCCACTTAAGGTCTTTGGTTGTTTGGCATTTGTACATATTCATGCACCACACTGAGGGAAACAGGATCCTAGGGCCACTAGATGCATATTTTTGGGCTATTCATCCAACAAAAAGGGTTACAAATGTTATTGCCCTCTCACAAAGAAGTTCTTTCATTCTATGGATGTCACTTTTTTTGAACATCAACCATTATACCCCAATTCTTCAATTCAAGGGGAGCATAACATGATGGAATCTCAGAATTAGGATTGGAACACACTTATTCAGCCACAAATTCTTACTTCTCCACCAATTGAATAAACCCTTGTCACCCGAGAATGGTTCTAGTCCTGTTTCTATCCGAAGTCTGAGTCCTATAGGTCAACCTATCCCGAACCAAACTGCAATTGAAAATGAACTGCAAGTCCATACAAAGACGAACCGATGCCAGGAACAAGCTCAAGTACAGCCTGTACAAACTCAGCATGATCAAAACACTTCATCGATTCCAAAATCCAAAGAAAATACGCAAGGTAAGACTGATATCACTCCAGTTCCTTTGTCTGATCCAATTCCAGAGTCTAGTTCAAATTTGGATCTTCCGATTGCAGTACAGAAAGGTATTCGACAATGGACACACATCCTCTTCATAATCACTTGTCATATATAAAGTTGTCACCAAAATTCAGAGCTTTTGTGACCAAGCTTGATGAGGTCCAAATTCCCAGCTTAATCTATGAAGCCTTACAAAGACCCGAATGGAAGGAAGCCACTCTAGAAGAAATTAGAGTTCTTGAAAAGAATGGAACATGGACTATCAGATAGCAGTGTAGAAAGGTTCAAGGCTCGCCTCGTAGCAAAAGGGTTTACTAAGTCATATGGCATCGACTACCAAGAAACCTTTGCTCCAGTTGTGAAGCTAAACACAATCTGTGTACTCATATCCTTGGCAGTAAACCAGGTTTGGCCTCTATTTTAGCTTGATATAAAAAATGCTTTCCTAAATGGAGATCTAGAGGAAGATGTATACATGGATATACCTCTAGGTTTTGAAAACATTACCAACTCCAACAAAGTGTGCAAGCTCAGGAAGTCGTTATATGGCCTAAAACAGTCTCATCGGGCATGGTTTGGTAGATTCACCAGTGTGCTCAAAAGGGATGACTATTTCAATGTCAAGCCGACCACACCTTATTTGTCAAACATGTTACGGATGGAAGACTCACTAGACTTATTGTATATGTTGATGACAGAGTTCTTACAGGAGTGGGAAGGAATGGATCATCTAAAAAGGCTGCTTTCCATGGAATTCGAGATTAAGGACCTTGGAAACCCGAAGTATTTCCTGGGGACGAAAGTGGCAAGATCAAGTAAAGGTATTTCGATGTCACAGCGTAAATATTTTCTTGACCTTTTCAAGGAAACAGGAATGGTGGGGTGAAAACTAGTTGACACTCCTATGGATCCCAATACAAAACTAGGGGTTCGAACTGATGGTACATCAGTGGATAAAGGTAGATGTCAATGCCTAGTAGGGAAACTAATCTACCTAGCCCATATTGGTTTCTCAGTCAGTGTGGTTAGTCAGTTCATGAACAACCCTTCCGAAGAACACATGGAGGCTGTATATCAAATTCTGAGAGATCTCAAAAGGGATGCTGGTAAGGGACTGTTGTTCAGAAAAATGATAAACAGAACAGTTGAAGTTTTCACATATGCTGATTGGGCTGGTTCACCTACAGATCGGAAATCAACATCAGGATATTGTTCATTTGTGTGGAGAAACTTAGTAACTTGGTGAAGCAAGAAGCAACATGTAGTTGCCCAAAGCAGTGCTGAGGCAGAGTTTTGAGCTTTGGCACTTGGAATATGAGAAGGAATTTGGCTAAAGATGCTATTGCAGGAGCTGAAGGTTAAGTCAGATGGTCCGGTGGACATGAGGAGTGATAGTCAATCAGCAATAGCTATAGCTAAGAATCCAGTTCATCATGATAGGACTAAACATGTAGAGATTGATCGTCATTTTATCAGTGAGAAGATTGAAGGCAAAGTAATTGCTCTCAACTATATTCCAACTCGACATCAAACGACAGACATCTTAACAAAAGTTCTCCATCACCCTAACTTCCATGAATTATGTTCCAAGCTCGGCATGAAAAACATATACAGCCCAGCTTGAGGGAGAGAGTAGAAAGTCATCCAGGAAGTTAGGAATAGAATATTTACTTGTAATTTAGAATCGTGTATATAGCAGGAAAGTAGGAATAGTAGTTAACTAAATATTCTCTCATATTTACTTACCTTAGTTAGACTGATTCTAGGCTGATTTTGTTTCCTAATTTCGAGGATCTAAACTGATATCGTTCCTGTATAAATATTTTCCTAATTGTTCAATAAGATATATGAATTTTTCCCTCAGAATTATCTACAGATTTTATTCTTAGCAATAAGTGCCATAGACATTACACGATGCCAGGAATTGTAATTGGGGCCAAGCAATTGATTAGAAACCAGACTCAAACCTGGATGATCTGCATTACTGAAATAGAAAGCACTGTTCGCGTCTTCTGTGAAGAGTCAATTATTTTGATCCACACTAGAAAAGTAATTCTCATTGTTTCCACCAGTTCATCCTCCATTATTGCAGTTTCCACTATTATTACCACCATGAACAGCTCTACCTCGTGCCATAACAGATCAAGAAATAGAAACCCTAGCGGAGCAAACTTGTCTCTGATACCATGTTACAAAAGAAATTAGAGAGAGAAATGGGGAAAAATTATGTTCTGCATTAATCAGAATTCGCACAAAATGAAATTACACTGAGTAGAACTCTTATATGGAAACACAGAATGAGTTGGAGGAAAGAAGAAATAAAATACAGCTGTAACTTGCCAACTCAGCAAGGCTAACAAACTAACTAACAAACTAAATTTCTAATAGAATGTTGCATCTGAAGAATTTTTATCCTTATCACCCCATGATTAACAAAAGGGACTGAAAGGCTGCGGGAAAAATTGGTAATCGTTAAATATTATGACATACTAATGAACATCTGCACATATGTTCACATTGTTGTGCTTACAGATATTCCCCATTCTTAGTCAAATATTACACGAAAGAAAATGACAGATTTTTTTAATCCTATCTTGTTCTATTCTCTAACATTTTAATAAGTTTTCAATCTGGCACCTGTAACACTTCATTCCAGATATGTGTTACATATAAAAACTTGACAATTGATACCTCAAGATATCTGACTCGAATTTTTTAATCCCGTTAACCAGAAGAAACATATAAATAGAAATCAAGATTAGATCTGAAACATAAAAATATTCATTCAGTCATGTACAATCAAATATTATCTAAATCAATAATTGCAAATTGATTAGGAACCATCTGAATTAAATAAATTGCAGTTACTTACAAAGTCTTCCAAGCAAAACAATGCAGTGTTTGGAGGAATTCGTCATGGCGAATGTTGCGTACCAATTAGTGGAGCTTTTGTCTATTAGTATATTATTAGAATATTATTTACTTATGGCTAATTAGATATTTCCTTGTAAATAATATGTAGTTTCCATGTATAATTTGTATCCAAAAATATCGTGTAACATTATAAAAGAAGGGAAGACAAATGAGAAATTCCATTCCGCAAATTATTGTCTTGGTATCAGAGCACTAAATCAATTTTGAACTTGTGTTTGTCTCTTGTGTTTCCGACACTGAGTGTGGATGATGGTCGGCATCTCCTGGCCATTTACTTCGTGTGCTTCAACCTCTGTTTGTTGAAGTCTGGTCCATCGTATTCTTCCTACCACCCCGTTTTCAAGTTACTAAGTGCAATCGTGTGTTTTTGTGTGGCGTCCAAGGTTGTACTTCATACTTTCGACATCTCTAGTGGTGGCTCGATTGTTCGCGATCATCATTTTGAGCAGGTTTCATTTCGTCGCTATCGTAGTTTTGAAGCAGTTTTTTTCCAGCGCGGCTAAAGTCGAGTTTAGGGGTTTTGTCTCAGATTTCATTGTTTTGGGCTAAGTTTGCGTATCGAACTTATTCCTCTTGGGCTTGGGCTGCTGGGTTGATATCTTAATTGCTGTTAGGCTTGTTGGACTGATTTATTTTGGAAATTTTTTTTTTACTATTTTGTTATTGGATATTAGTTGGACAGAATTTAAATTGGGTTGTAGTGTTGTTGGACCATTGATTTTGGTCTCTATTATTTGCATAGTGTTGGGCAGGTGTATTTTAGCTATTGGACTTAATTGAATATTTGGTTGGGCTAAAATATTTGGATTGGACATAATTTATATTTGGTTGGGTTAAATTGTGATTATTTTTGGTTGGACCATACACGATTTCATTATGTCAACAAATAAGAACGAGTCTATTTGCATTTGTTTTTCTAGCAAGAACTATTCTTCAGGGGCATTTCATTTTCAATCATTAGTTGAAGGTAAAGGTGATCTTTGGGGACATATTGATGGAAGTATTCCCACTTTCGATCAGGAGAAGGAAAAGGAAAAATATCTTGCTTGGAAAACAAAGGATTCTCGACTTATGGCTTGGATCATTGGATCTGTTGATACTCAAATTGTTCTTAATCTCAGACTTTGTAAGTCATCCCGTACTATATGGGAGTACTTGAAGAAAATTTACACTCAAAGAAACAATGCTTGGCAGCTTCAGTTGGAGTTTGAATTGGCAAATTTCGCTCAGAACTCTCGGTCTATTGAAGAATATTATTCTAGTTTTTCTAACCTTTGGGTTGTACACATATATTATCTATGCTTCCATTTCACCTGATAGTTTGGAAGCTGTTCAAGCTGTACATGAAGTCACCAAGAGGGATCAATTTCTCATGAAATAATGAAGTGAATTTGAAACCCATTAGTTCCAGCCTTATGAATCGCGAATCACTTCCAACTTTGAATGGTTGCTTAGGTGAGTTATTGAGAGAGGAGCAGCGACTTATCACTCATACCTTATTCGAACAACATCGTCATCAAGTAACAAATCTCATTCCATATGCTGCTCAAGGAAAATTCAAAATGTTCAGTGTTACAGTTGTAAGGGGTTTGGTCATATAGCTCTTCAATGTCCAAGAAAAATGTGTAATTATTACAAGAAGTCTGGCCATGTCATTAAGAAGTGCCCTATACGTCCTCCACGTAAGATCGTACCAAGTGATGTTGCTGTAGCCACTTTAGCATCAAGTTCTGCTTCATCAGTTGCTCCCACTCAAGTTCCAGCCTCTCACGGTTCTACCCAACCTTTCATCACTCCCGAGGTGATCCAACAAATGGTCATTTCTGCTTTGTCTGCATTAGGTGTCTCAGGTAAATCATCAACTGCTTCTTTTTGGTTACTAGACTCAGGTTCTTCTAATTATGTGACTCGTGATACTCAATTACTTAGTAACATTAGACCATATACTGGACCTCTCCATATACACACCGCCGATGGTAATACTCTTCCTATTTTGGCCGTGGGTGATGTTTTA